CAGTGGTGACTGAGGATGTTGGCCTGGGTGTTTTCTCTGCAGGCTTGGGATGAGAAACCCTCACTTTGGTGTGAGTTCTGGACCAGAGAGGTTATCCCACTGAAGGGGAGAAGGGGGACACAGGGGAGCGTATCTGGTAGGAAGAGGATGCTGGCAGGAGATGGGTGCAGAGCTGGGGCAAAGCCCTGGGCACCCTGTGAGGTGGGTGGGAGCTGAAGGGTAGCCCTTGTGTCAGAATTATCTTCACGGGATGGGAGGGGGTGACAGCCACGCCAAGCAGCCCCTGGCAGCGTGCCAGCCCTGGCATGGTCCCCACCACCAGGACCTGCCTTGAAACAACCCCCTCGCATTCCTGGGGAACAGCAGGGATGGAGCAGGATTTTGTGATGCTGCATCCATTTTGCCTTTGAAATCAACTCCGGCCCAAAGTCACTTCCAGGTCCCACAGAGTCGCCCTAAAACCAACCACAGCAACTCACACACGTGAAGGGAAACACCCTTCGGTGTCAGCTGCCAGTCAAGGTGGTGGGCAGGGAGGGAAGCGGCCAGGGAAGCCCCCACGCCTTGAGACTGAGGCCCTGGAGGAAACGTTAGCACTGGGTATGAATCCAAAATACTACCAAAGCCCAGTGGAACCTCTTGTAGCAATACACGCCCCATCTGCATGTTGCTCTCCACCCTTTAGGTGACACTGAAGCCCATTGCTCCCCACGCCATGTTAAGGTTGCAGTCCTGACCCCTCTTCTGCCCTGGGATTGTGATGGATTCTAGGTCTCAATATGCAAAAAAAAAAGACATTTTGGCCATTTTGGGGCTTTGCTGCACCAAGACGTGTCCCTAGCAGAAGTCCATGGGAAGTGCCCCTTTGCTGAGGGCAGGGGGTCTGATGGGTCACTTACCCACCGCCGGGCAGTTTTCGGAGGGCTGATCTCACAGGTCGCAGTGGTTTGTGTCTGCCTTCAGGGACTCGAGCTGGTTTGTGGCTCACAGGAACACCCACCCATCCTCTGTCTTTGCCAAGTCCTCACCGTGGTTGGGTTCTCTCTAACAGGTGTTAATTAACGGTGCCATGGCTTGACAGGCAAACCAGGCATGGCGGCCCACTTCACGCATTGGCTTTTCCAATTAACATACAAAATATCATGATCTCGAGGCAGACCTGCCCCCTCGCCTGCCGATTCCTATGAAGGTCGGCTGATGCAGTCCCAGGAGAAAGGACGGATTTGGAGGTAGCTGCTGGCCAGTTCCCTTGGCCTGGCGCAAAGCAGGAATTAGCTACAGAAGCCAGAGGGAACGGGGTGTTTGATGCGAGGATTAATTCCCTGCCCTTAGCAATTGCCGGGGATCTGCGCTGTGTTACACGGGTCAGGTAAACAACCTGTATTGCAGGGAGGACAGATGGCAGCAGCAATGCTGTTGCAGGGTCAGAGGGAAAGAAATGAAGCCAGAAAAACAGAATCACGCTGAGAGCCTCTGAGTTGTTTGCACAGTCTTATCGCATGTGCTTCCAGGTTTGTTACTTGCCCGCTTCTACACCGGAGCTGGTGGCAGCAGCTTTGCAAGGAGGGGTCTGCCAAGAGAAGGGTCTCCCCAGGCAAGAGCAGAGCCTCTCATGGCCCTGGCAGTGAACCCCGGGGTTGGCAGGAGGGCGGGCATACAGCCCCTGGACATGGGGATGCACGGCATCCAGCTCCTTGCAGCCCAGTGCTGTAATCTCTCTGCTTTTGGGGAATTTTAAGTGACCTACTTGCAGCAGGAGTTGCATAATGGCCTGGTGAATATATATTAAAAATGCTGAAGGTTTCACCAATGCTCAAGGATGGGTTGTGTAGAAGAAGTTGTCCTTGTCCAGCCACCAATGACCCACGCAGAGCCCTGGCTTTCACCAGCGTTTTCTTTTCCTTCCAGAGTCGTCTCCCGGGCATCAAGGTGAAATACCTGCTGGTGGTGTGGCTGGGCATCTTCGTGGGCAGCTGGGTGGCATACATGCACTACTCGTCCTACTCGGAGCTCTGCCGTGGCCACGTCTGCCGGATGATAAGGTGGCCACGTCTGCCGGATGATAATTGTGAGTGGTGGCCCCTGCGGCCGCGCTGGTCCTGGTTTGGGGTGCTGGGGTGAGTGGGGCTGTGGGAGCCCTGTTTTCAGCCCTCCCCAGCTCTGCGTGGTGCCTTGCAGCCAGGCAGGCAGTGCTGGGGCAGCATCTTGCACAAGAGCTGGGCTGAGGAGCCCTCCTGGCAGCTCCAGCATCGCTGGGAGCTCAGAGAGGGAGAGGTGACCTTCTTCTGCCAGGGCGACAGCGAAACAATTTAATGAGATGCCAGAGGGAAGCAGGCCAGGCAGACGTGGGCAGATTAATGTCTGGGGAGATGAAGTTGCAATGTCAGAGCAGGATCTGCGGGCAGGGAGAGCATCGCGCCAGCTCCCCCCACCGAGCTCTGCAGAAAAAGGGGAGCGGGCAGTCCATGGGTACCTCCCTGGAACTGCTGACATGCCCTAAAGAAAGGTGCAGCCTGCACGAAGAGCAGACACCTCATGGGAGCTTGGCTTGGGCATTTTGCCCCTGCCTGGGGTTTGCAGTGGGGTGCAGCCTGCTCCCTACGGCGTCCCTGAGGCTGGCAGCCAAGCGAGACCCCCCTGGTACTGGGGAACAGGTTGCTTGCCCAGCCCAGGCGATGAGAGGGACGCCAGGCTCTGGCGGAAAACGCCTCGTTCATCAATCCTTCAGCAGAGAAGGGAGGCAGGAATTGCCATAACAACAGCGACGATCGTTTAATTTGATTTTCTGCATGACTCTGACCACGGGGTCTCAGGCACTAATTCCTGCTCTGAGCTCGGGGTTTAAGGCACTGTGCCCTGCCATGGGAGCGGGTCTGAGGGTTAATTCCCTTCCATGTCAGTGAGGGGAAAAAAAGAGCGAAAAGATGCAGTGAATTTGTGCGGCTTCTGTTTCCAGCCCTGAGGCTGTTGTGCCCCTGTAGAGAAGCCGCAGAGCTGCAGCCTCTCCTGCCCAGGGTTGCCTCCAGCTCCCGATCCAATCCTGTTTGTGGATCAGAGCCACCATTGGTCCCTGTCCCCAACACCGCCTGGACCAGGGCCAGCCCCTTTCACAGCAGGGGTGCTCTGCTGAGCAGCCTGAGCCTGTGCATCCTCATCCTCGCCCAGCTCCACGCTCCTCTCTCCTCCAGCCCTGGCAGCTCCACTCACCTACTGCACTTGCAGCAGGAGCACCCAGGAGCAAATCCCCTGTGGTGCCTCCATCAGCAGGGGGGTTGCTGCCAGCTGAGCCCCTCCAGGCTCACCAGGGATGCGATGGCATTGATGATGCCGTCACGTACACACGGTAAACTGAAAAACCAAAGTGCTGGCACCGGGTCTGCTGCAGGAACAGGGAGTGAGAAGTTTGGGTGTGGGAGGTGACGGGGCTGGCGGCAGCATGGGAGGCCAGGGGGGCTCGCACACCCCCAGCTCGTGTGATTGGGGTGCCCCAGGTCATAAGCTGTGGGATTGAGCCTGGATCTGTTGAACTTTGGGTGGATGGAGAGTTGCCCCCACTGAGCTCTACTCTCTGCCTTCTCCTTCCCAGTGTGACCAGTACAAGAAAGGAATCATTTCTGGCTCCACATGCAAAGACCTGTGTGAGGAGCGCAGCCTCCTCTTCCAGCACTGCCTCTCCTCCTCTCCCACCCAGCAGGTAGGTCTCTGCCCCACCAGGGAAACCTCTGGGGCAGGGAATGGGGGCAAGCATCAAACCTGGCACAGATGTTTCTCCCCCAATCCCTGCTACCTGTCCCAAATTGAACCAGAAACTGGTTCTCTCCGCTTGTTTTCCTGTGGTCTCTGCCACATCCCCTCTCTTTGCTGCAGGTTTACAGTGGGCTCTGGAGAGAGAGGGAGGTGATCATCAAATGCGGCATCGAAGAAGCCTTGAAGGCAGACAGCCACCCAGACTCCGTGCCCAGGAGGGACGTGGTCCTCTTTGACAAACCCACACGAGGAACATCGATGGATGAGTTCAAAGAAATGCTCCTCAACTTCCTGAAGGTCAGTGCAGAGGGTCCCTTTGGGAGCCTGTGGGCCCAGGATGCCACCTGTGAGTTGGAAAGACTAATCCTGTCATTCTTTGCCCTTAAATGAGAGCCAGTCCTGCGCACGCTGCCCCGTCAGCCGCTGAGTGCCAGGCAGGGCTCCTTACCACGTACTGCAGAGCAAGTGCTGGGTTACCTGAGAAAAATCTCCATTCTCGGAGAACGGAATTCTCAGAGAACAGAAATCTCCCTTCTCAAAGAAGGGAATTCCGATTTGCAAGATTTTAGTAGCAGCACCCCTGGAGCTGTGCTGGGCAGGGCTCACTCACAAGCCCACAGGCAGCCCTGGCAGTGCTGGCACCGCTGCAGCACCTACCCCTGTGCAGTGGTGGGACGGTGGCACTGCCCAGCCTTTGCTCTCTAAAGCTTGCTCCCATCTGGGTCTAGAGCAGCCCCAAGGCTGGTAAAATTCCAGCGGAGCTGAGTCCATCCAACCCTACATGACGATATGGCACCCAATTTGCTGTTTCCTCCTCTGCCAAGCTCAGCTCTTTGCTTTCCCAGTTCAGTTTTGTGATATGAAGGCCAAACACAGAGATCTGCAAAGGTCTGATGCCGCTTCTCGCTCTGTTCGCAGTCCAACCTGGGGGATCAGCCTTCTCTTGCTGCCTTGGTGAGCCGGATCATCGCCATGGCAGATGTGAACCGGGACGGGAAGGTCTCTTTAGCGGAGGCCAAGTCCATCTGGGCGCTACTTCAGCTCAACGAGTTTCTCCTCATGCTCTCCTTGCACGAGAAAGAGCACACTTCCAAGCTGCTGGGGCACTGCGGGGACCTCTACGTCACCGAGAAGATCCCCCACACTTCCCTCTATGGAGTGGACGTCCCCCCCTTCCTCCAGTCGCTGCTGCCTTCAGTCGTCCACCAAATCATCCACCAGTGGTTTGCACCAGCGTGGCCCCGGCGGGCAAAGATCACCATCGGCCTTCTGGAGTTCGTGGAGGAGATATTCCACGGGACCTACGGGAACTTCTACATCTGCGAGACCGGCTTTAAGAACGTGGGCTACAACGACAAATACGACTTCAAAATGGTCAACCTGAGGAAGGTGGCGACGGAGATGACAATCAGAGGTTTCCTCAAGGGACGTCACTGTGAGCAGAACGTGGACTGCACCTACGGGAAGGACTGTATGGCCACGTGCGACAAGCTCATGAAGCAGTGCAAAAGCGAGATGGTGCAGCCCAACCTGGCGAAGGTCTGTGGGTTGCTGCAGGACTACTTGCTGTACGGAGCGCCGCTGGAGCTGAAGGAAGATCTGCAGAAACAGCTCCGAACGTGCATGACCCTCAGCGGCCTGGCCAGCCAGATGGAAGTGCACCACTCCCTCGTGCTGAACAACCTCAAGACCTTGCTCTGGAAGAAGATTTCGAACACCAAATATTCCTAACCGGGGAAGCACGGCCCTGGAGTTTAGAATCTGCAATCTTGGAGGAAAGCCCAAGGCTTGAAGGCCTGTTTCTCCATCCTCTCCCCCACAGGAAAAAAACCCACACCCTGCACAGGGAGTCCCACGTAGCTGCAGCCCTTTCTCCTTCATGGCCAACCATCATGACTTCCACCGCCCCGCAGGAACATCGATACCGTCGGGCAAGAGGACGCTGCGGAGCTGGGACGCCGGGAGCTGGGCTCAACAGCCTCGGGGAGGGAAGACGACACTGGGAAAGCGATAAGGAAGCGGAGCCCAGCTGGACGCATCTAACTGTTTCTTGATTAACAGGAAGGCGGTGCGGAGAGATGAGAATGAATCATTCATGCTGTACTTGTCACGTCTTCTTTTGATGAACGTCTCTGATGTAAATAAATAGCTTTTACGTGAATCACACCGGTACATCAGTAGCAAAACGGCAGCCTTTTAAGTACCAGCTTGCTTGTGATCTAAAAAGGAGAAAAAAAGGTAGATTTCCCTATTCAAGGGTCTCTCCTTAAGCGTCTGTCAGCTGCCATCAGATCCAGCTGTAACTTAGGAAGCAGCTAAGCTGTCTTTTCCACAGCGGAGAATCCTGGCAATTCTTTCATTCCTTTTTGAAGTGCCTGACCCCAGCCCGCAACACTGGGGCTTGTGCGAGGCTCCCGCCTGGCTGCTCCTGCCCACAGCCTGAATTTGGCAGCAGAGGCCATTCCCTCTCGTGGGTCGGCTTTGGAAGCATCCAAGGCCGAGAATAGCTTAAAGGAAAAGGGCTAAACATGAACAATTCCGACTGGTTAACACATGTGCTGTTACTTCCCACAGTACTCAGAGCAGGGATAAGCCAGCCTCTTGGTTTAATTCACCTAAAACTTAGCTGGGCTTGCACTGCAGAGGTTAAAGATTAATACCAGAATAATCCAGTGCTTCTCTCATTATTAAAATGAATTTCCAGGCTAGCTTGCAGCAGGTTTCGACATTTGTTTGGCTGTGTAAATACTACCAGGTCTCTTAACGACAGTGTGTTCCCTTTAAATACTCAATTATAGCAACCTTTTAAAACTGCGGGTAGAGAGGAAGGGTTTACGTAAACTACCCTGAGCTTGCTCTGTTCCCAGCACAATCACATTCCCGCTGACGGACCGTATGCCGGTGCTTTTGCCAACAATTGCTTAGTGGAGCGTGTCTTTGAAGCACCATCACCAAGGAAAAAATACCTCTGACAGTACATATATCCTGCGAAGGCAATCGGTAGTGTCACGGCTGCGAATTTATGAGCCCCGTGGAGGAGAGATATCAGTATTTCCCTTCTATTAGTTCCATAGGATCATCATAACCTCTCACTGTTATTTATGGAGGAAATGTTTCAGTGTCAACAGCGCTCTAAATCCAGCACGGAGCCGACGTAGCTCGCTTCCCGCAGAGGAGTTGGCTTCACACCGTCATTCATCTGTGGTGAGGTTGAGCACACGGGAGGTTTCCGTGTCTGAAGGGTGGCCAGTGCCTCAGCCCCTCGGTGTCTCCCGTCATCAAGTAGGAAAACTGCAGAGGTGGCCAAGGTCCCACCTCCAGGCATGGAGCTGGTGGGTGCTGGTGTGGGTTTGCCCCCTCAGGAGGGTTGGGCGGAGGGAGGAAAAGAATCAGGAGGGTTTGGTGGAGGAAGAGGACCCGATCGGTACCAAGGCTCCACGCAGCCACCTCAGCTCTGTTGTCCTGCATCCCCATGGCAACCAGCTCCACTGACAAATTAAATTTTCCTCTGCTATTAGAAAAAGGAACCTAACAGCCATGCCAAATCCTCAGATTTTCAGGAAAGCCATTTTTCACCCCCATTTGAAATCCAGTAGATTTTGTGCAGAAAGCAGCGCTGCCTCCACACTTAATCCCCAGCTCCCTTCCCTCAAAACAGCATTAAAGCAGTAGGTAAGCACCCAGAAAAGTGGAGGAAAACACAGATGTTCCTTATCTTATGAGATCAGACCCTCTTTAAGCATTTCTGATGAAAGATGAAGTTCAAGGAGAAAGCCCCTGTGCTTTAAGAAACAGCTTTATTCAAACACACTTCTGCGTGTCACATCACCGTGTTACCGACCTGCACGCCCCAGTAACAGCAGGGAGCACCCCAGGAATCGCTCAGCCCACGAGCACCGAGTTTTGTTCATCATTAATAAAAAACACAAGTGTTTTCACCCGTGCTTACAGTTTACAAGCTGCGCTGCAACACAGGAGAAAAATGACTAAAGGCAAAGGTATTTTACACTTGTGCCTCATCCAGATTTCCCACGTTAGCTGGAAAGAGGGAACGGCAGAACAACGCTGAGACTTGATGTCACCAGCTGCTGCTGCTTTAGCGGCACAGATCTGTGCCGCAGGGGGATGGAGGTAAGCAGCAAGATTTCTACCTTCCATGGGTTAAAATAAGAAACCATCTCAGTTCTCATATCCACAAATAAAAGTCTTAAATCCAAGAATGGTTAAAATTTCATATTCCTTAGGGTGGTACAAACAGATAAGCATTGTCATTTCAGACTTCTTGTAAGTGGCATTTTTATTATTTTTTTAAATCCTTCTTAACCATGTTAACACACATTGAAACAACGGTGCTTTAAAAGGTTATGCAAACCGAAATGCCAGGAAGAAGGGCAGGATTACAACTCTTACAACTGTTCCAAGAGTTCAACAACAACAGAAAGGACACTTGGAGCAGAACAGCTGTTATTTTTTTTTTTTTAACTGACATTTGAGTTGCAGGAAACATTCGAAACCACAAGCAGCACCGCAGGTGCTTCAACCAGCTGTCGTGTCCTTGAACCCACGTATGAGAAAAGATGGAAATTTTAGGCATCTGCAAGTCTTCGAATGCGGGCACTGCCAACCATTTCTTCAGCTGTAGCCAGGTTTGCCAGAAACCCCAAAACCTAAGGCAGGACCTGCAAATGAAAAAGTGTCCAGGATGTAAACTTCAAACACAGCCAGCAGAGGTTAGCGATAAACTCTGATGCTAAGCAGCTAAATCAGCCCAAACCACCCAGCCTCCTGCCGTTTGCTCCAGTTCCATATGCAAGCTAAGGCACCGTGGGAAGGGAAACTCCTTTTGGTTTCAGAGGTGACATTTTCAGGTAATTGAAGAATCACATCAAGGTTTGTCTTGAGACTGTCCAAGGATTTTGTTCCCATCCCAGAAAAAATAAAAAAAGCTTCCTAAAACGGTTCAAAATTTTACAGAAGTCATTAGCTGGGCTCAGATGTCCCGATTCAAGGGGAAACTTCAGAAAGCAATTTAGTCCAGAAGCACAGAACTCGCCCTGGCTGTACTCCCAGCAGCCAGTGGAAGGCAAGTGCCTGCAAACAGGCGCACATCAGGACCTAAAGCAGCGCTGCAGGGCAGATTGCACTAATAAATCAGACTCATTTAGGAGAGGTTCTCTGCCCCTCGATCAGAAAGGTTTTAGAAAAAGAAGAATCTTCTGGCTAGGCACAGTGTGCTCTGCAGAGTCTAGGAAAAGGATAAATAAAGAGCATGATAGCTGGAGCCTGCTCTTGGTTGCTCCTTCACCTTTTGGCTCCCTAAAAATCAAAGGTGGGTTTGCCAATCTCCATGCAGAGGCAAGCTATTAATAGTGCCAAGAAAGAAAAGCTGGGCTCCTTCCAGTGTTCAAAGCCATAGCATAAACCAGTTCTAAATGATGAAGGGCTAAGTTAACACACAGAGAGACTTTTATTTCTCTCAGAATCACTTTAATACAAAATATTCATCTTTTCCAGAGGTGAGAGCCAGGCAACTCTTTCAGTAAAGCAAAATTCATAGCCTGGGATTGCTGCTCAGTCTTAGGAAGATGGTTAGCAGCAAACGCTATCAGGAAAATTTTAACAGCCATCCTATGCCTCACACGGGAAAGTTCTAAAGAAGCACTCACCATCCCCACAGGACTCTTGATGTGAGTCAAGTCTGATGAAAATACTCAAATATCCACTTCAGGGTTGTAAAAGTCAGGAAATTTAAATAGAAGAATCACATCTCAAAGCATGCTTCTTTGCAAAACCATATCCCCAACAACCTTATTAGCATTCTTTTCCAAAGCCACTGCTGGTAGGCAGTGACTTTTCCCAATTAAACGGCTCATTTTGCAGCCAGCAGCTACCGCTCGCTTAGTGGCACCTTTGGCCCTCATAATGCCCATTTAATGAGGGCATTTCCCACCATTTAGCACTGCCAGATTTTGTCTGCAAAGCGTCTCGGAGCTGCACAATCCCATCTCTGTGCAGCCAGAGCTGCTCTCACCACTTGTTTTAACAGCAGAGGCTCAGGGGCACAACACCCAGGGATGGGCAGCGGTGCAGAGCTATGGGGGTATTTGGTACCTCTCCTCGTGAGCAGCTCCCTGCCTCGGAGAAGTTCCTAGCTCACGGACACAGCAGACACCAAGAAAAAAGTCGCACTGTGCTCATTTCTGCTTCTTGTCTGACCGTGTTACCAGCCAGAACACAAGCTAGATCTCAGGAAAATGGGGCAAGGCGTTCCACTGCTGCACTCACTGCAAGTTAATTGAGAAGGACTTTAGAGAGACCTCAGGTTTCAGCCTAATTTTTTTGCTTGGATGACTGAAATATATCTTCTGTTTTTTTTCTTGCACAACTGTGACACAAATGTTTTTTTCAGTAGTATTTTGTGCCAGACTGCAGTGGTACCAGAGCCTGTTTGGTACAACAAAAGATGTGACATGCAAGAAACCTGAGTTACCTTTCAACAGTTAGTGTGTTAGTAAAACACGCTAGAAGTTTCAGTTCTAAAACACAGAACACGATAGCAAGAAAAACAGTTGTTCTGTCACATAAACAAAGGTATTCATTACAAGTACGACTGTCACGCTGAAGGACAGATTCCACACCCTGTTCCTGCACAGCTGTCCACCCTTCACAATTTAAAATTAACATTAAAGGAAACAATAAAAAATTCCCAACAGGAAAGGCAAGAAATAATTGTCAGGTTGCTCGTCATTCCCAAGTGCTCACAGGTTTCAGAACACTAGCAAAGACACAGCCTTTTGCTCTCTGCCACCCAATGACACAGATGTGGCACCACAGCCACACCTGCAACACGAGCTGGGGCAGGAGCTGATCGAGTCCCCCTGTGCTCACCTCTGGCCTGTGGGAAGCCCTCCTGGGTCTGCCAGTCGCACAGCTCCCTCTGAAAAAGGAGGAAAAATACACGGTCTTCATTTCATAAATTTAGATATGCTTCAAAGCCTCATTTGCATAGTTACTGTTTCACTGGCGACAAAAACTTGAAAGGCCCAGTAAGAAAGAGAAGTTAACGAAATAAATGCATAACAAAGGCGTGTTTTTACTTTCAGATAGGAATCCGGTCGGGGCTGCCAGCACGTGGCTCCCAGTGATGCCACCAA